GTCTTTAACAGCGTTCAAAGACCTTATAGAGATCATTGAGGGAAGTAAGTTTAAGCAGAGCTGGTGAAGGCGCAGAACCCTCGTGAAAACAGAGGCTACGGGAGGGCAGAAGCACTGTTCTAAAGGCCGGTAGCAAAACATTCTCCACAGTCCACTGCCAGGGTAGCTTTAAACGTCGACGATCCGATGCCGGGGGTGAGGTGACATTCTCTTTTTCGTCCTCCTCCATGGCGACTACTTCTTCGTCAGAGGTACAGCAGGCGTCAGCGTCCTCCGAGTCCTTCTTAACGCCGGAGGGGTGCGAGTCTTCTGTGCGGCGCGCGTAAAAGTTAGCAGTCAGACGACAGATGCCCTCGAAACAGGCAGCCTCCTCATTCCAGTCAACATCCTGCACCAGGCGCAGCAGGTAGAGAGGCAGCTGGCGTAGGTCTGGAATGAAACTGCGAAAACAAGAAAGTGAGAACTGAAAGAGGCAGCAGTAGGGTCGCGCCAGCTCGGCTGAAGGACATATCCACCCAGATACATGGATAGCTTCCCTTACCCCAGCCTATATTACACTGTTACATGTTGAGGGATCCAAGACCATAACCGTGGTCTGGGTCCTATGTACGCAAGAACTGGCATGCATGAGGCCCGAGGCCACGGCACACACACGCATAAAAAACAAATAAGGGAGGGCTCGCTGAAAAAAAGGAAGGACAATCACGGACCAGAACGTGAAAATGGTAGAAGTTTAATTTACGCCTCAGAACAGCACGCAAAAAACCCATTCTTCTATTATACAGGAGAGGTGGTTTTGGGGGTTATACGGGTGGGGCATACCAAGGGAAAGAAGAAGTAATAAAAAATAGAACGTATAAGAATAGGAAATATTAAGGATAATTATTTAAATAACCAAATATTTGCGCGCGATAAGTAAACTGAAAAACATAAACAATACGAAAAAAGAAGTACCGAATTAGATACAATCGTATGTCGAATCTATATCGGCCATATGCCGACTGTAAATCGAATTGGACCCGAAATCGTATGTTAACTTTATGTCAAATTTTAGAGATTAAAGTAAAACCATGAAAAGTAGGCATTTTTTCCAAACTTCCAAAAAGCCTGATACCCTAACCACAGAGAAGAAAGACATATTCATTAGACTGCCTTTCTTAGGCGATGCAACAAGCGAGCTCGTCAGACG